GCGATGAGGATTACCGGGAGGTGAGTCTGCGCCGCCCCAGACCCGGGCCACCTCCCCGGCCTCCCACCCTCTGCCAGCCTCCCAGACCTCCCCCTCCACCGCCGCCCCTTCCCTCCACCCTCGTCCCCTTCCCCCGGGACCCTCCGCGCTCGGCACTCCCGTCTGGGAACCTCGTGGGCCGGGAAAACTGGAAACGAGGAGTTCAATCAGCGGTGGGAAGGGGAGGAGGGGTGCGGAGGCGGCCTGCGGGGTGGAGCTGAGCGCGGAGGGGGAGGGCCGGAGGGCGGTGTGGGGGCCTTTGTGCCAGAACCCGGGTGACTCCTCCGTGCCAGCGAGGGACTCCGGAGTTTTACTTCTGGGGCTTCAAGAAAAGCGCTCTTTCTGGGGCTGGGCGACCTGGCGAACTTTGGGCAGAAACTAACTGGAGTCTCCCCGGTTGGGCCCCGCAGCACCCCTCCCCTGTCCCTGCCCGCAGGGTGGGAGCGGCGGCCGGCTCCTCTTCCTGGGCCATCCTGGAAGGCTGCGGGGCTGGGGGCGGGGGCGAGGGTCCCCACAGGCGCAGGGATGTTTGGAGGAAGGACGGGGTCCCGGGTCAGCCCCATCTCGCCAGCGTCAGCCTCCCTACAAACGCCCTTCTATACCCTGTGTTTTTGGGGTCTTAGCCCGCCACCTCCCTTCTCCTTGCACTTCTGCCATTTCTCTGTTGTGCTGGCCCTTCGCCCTGCGGTCTCTGGACCCCACAGGGGGAGGGGGACCCCCCAGACTTCCCCGCCCAGGCTGAGCTACAGAAGCTCCCCACCTTCTCAGGTCTGGCCTGGCCCATGTCAGTGCTCTGCTGGGTCACAGATTCGGGCTGCAGCCCTGGCGGGGCCCGTTTGTTCAGAGCTATGGGCCCATTTCGAGACTTTGACCCCCGCGGCCTCCACCTGCAGTCAGGCTCACGGGCTCCGTTTCCGGTGTGGGGCCAGCCACGCCTGCAGGAGGCTGAGCCCGGAGCCGGCTGTTCGCCTCCTGCCCGCCGGGCCTTTCTCCTGCAGGTCTGGGAATGGGGGTCCCCACCGGCGGGTGTGCAGTGCAAGTGGACTGGACTGGGAGTCTA